TTAGTGAAAACCTCAACCTTAACTGTTAACTGTACAAAGTGTTCCATTTCTCTCCTTTTGTTCATTTAGAGGTGGAGAGGTCTTATCTTTTGGCTACTCAGTTGATGAGCATGCTCACTGTCTCCATACTGCTGATTGTAAATCATGAGAAACCTCTGATTTCGTCATTCTTCTTTTTTGTGGTGACAACCTGCATTGCAGCTGTAATAAATGTTCAATGGGGTGTGTACAGTGTAATAATGGTAACAGGACTGAGAGGAGTCCAATTCAGTCTGAGTGATTTAACAAAATCAGATGACCACATAGCAGGAGTGCAATTTGTTTAGTCATGAGTAAGGTTACAGGCAGAATTGGAGGACACAAAGTCCTGTTAAAAAATTCGATGACCACATGTACAGTTGACATGTACAAATGATTTTAAAAGGTCTTAACAAAAGTTAAAAATTTCAACTGTTGAGTGTGTTTTGGCCCTGGTGCACAGGAAAAAGGTATTCATTACAAGTGCATCTGTCCAAGAAATAGCATGTGGAAAATGACATTTTCTGTGCAATTAAACTATATGTCCAGTTACAAGTATTGAGCTAAAATTGGGCCAATCAGATTTATGAATTTTGTTAATGTAGCTTTGATTCTTATGATAATGTGTTGTGCCAGAAAATGTCCAATGATACTCCTTCCAGTAAAGTTTTTTTCAGTTTGAACCCTCCAGTCCTCCAGAAATTCAATTTTTGCTTTATACTTTACTATAAGAATTTTGGCTTGTGAAACCCCATTTCCCCTCAGAATTTCTGTTAAACATCATTGGGTGGGTATGGATATTTTCTGGAACCACACAATCACAAAATATAATTTAGCAGCTCTTGGTAATTAAGCATGATATTAACCCAGTCTCTGAATTTTTTTGAAAAATCCCAGTGTCTAAAGCTAAAAAGCATATGTCCGCAAACACAAACTTGATCAACAGCTGTTTTGTTCTATTTGAAGAAATATTTTTCCAATAGAATCAAACTAAAATTGGTTTCAAAATTGGGTAGTTTGAGAAGTCAGGGGTAAAAGAATTACAGTGTTCAACTGAGCGAAGAAAAATGACTTTTGGTTTGAGTTATTGGGAGGTTTAAAAAATCAAGGGTTTGAGAAATCAGGATTCTGAGGTACATGTATTGTCAACTGCTTATCTGAACAACCAGGCCCTGGCTTAAAGCTTGTTAAGGGACTTTACAGTATAAGTTAGGGCTTTCCACTCTACACTGTCTTGTGTTCATTTCATTTTTTTTGTTGTTACATTTAGATGTAGATATCATGCGAGTGTCAGTATGTATATGCCTGTTCTTTGTTATTCTGTTTGCTGTTTTACGATGGATACCGAGATCTTTTACTATTGGGGAAGCCATGGTTATTTCAGAGACAATAGTTCTGCTGTCAGTTGATTCTTATACAAACCTTGGATTGAAGGTAAACTGCACTGATCAAAATATAAATTAAAAGTTGTTTGATACTCAAAGTTGTCAAAAGTAGCCACCATCTTCTCTATATGCACAGACTACTCTTAACTGGACTACTCAATAGACATCTGATTCTTGGCCAATATCGAGCCATCTTGACCTGCCGCTTGGTCAATAACCCATATGTATCAACTTCCGCCGCCCTCCACCCCCACCTTCTTGGTTAGTTAGCTGCCATTCATGGTGCAGTGGAACCCCATTAATGCGGTCACCAACAGGCCATGAATATTTGGCCAATTTTATTTACGGGGCAGCCGTATTAACAGGGTTGGGTCAAATTTTAGGATTGGCCTAAATTGAGTGACTTCCTAACAGATATATTACAATTGCAACTTTTCTTTAATAAGCATCTACAGAATGATATAATTCATAAATGAACCTTCTATCATTACATACAATATTAACAGTGGAAAGATGAACATATCAACTAGTTTGAGTGAATTTTTAAAGGATTATACAGATTTGGGATTTCAGAACGTGGCCATTGGCCGTATTAACGAGGTGGCCGTATTAAAGAGGTGGCCGTAAGGCGAGGGTCCACTGTACTGTGTTAGTACCTCTTCTCTTTCTACATATAGAGTATTTTATGTTGGTCTCTGTATAGGTATGAATAAGTTTCACGACTTGCTCAGCAACATTATTTATTTTTATAAATAATTACTAATATTACATGTAAGTACACAGACCTGTATGAATCTGACTTGACTCATTCTGTAAATTATACAAATTGTCTGTTTTCAGTTATCCTATTTCTCTCCAACCTTTTACAATTTAATTGGAATTCAAGCCAAGGTTACACGAGGTACTCACAGTCTGTGGATGCAGGTACATTAAGTAAACATTTTTTAACTGGTTTTTGTTGAGCTCTTTGGCAAAAAAACTGAATTTAATTTGAATACTTTAGACAGGGAAAATGGAAACTCAGGTTGTTCCAAAAAAATACAATTTTCGTGTTACGCCAGCCAATGCGTGCGTGGAAAATTTCACCGTTCAACAGTTTGAATTGAAATTTTTAATTAGTACTAATAATTCTTTTTTAACATTTCAGCTCCTGTTAATTGGGTCATTGACAACAGGTCTTTTACTGCTTCCAGTATTTTATTATCTTACACTAGTAAGGTGAGATTTTTTTGAACCGGCACTAGCTTGTGGAGGCACAGTGGCCTCACAGTTAGAGTGCTCACCCACAGATCAAGCAGTCAGGGTTCCAGCCCTGGCTGGGGACATTGGGTCATGTTCTCGGGCAAGACATTTTACTCTCACAGTTCCCCTCTCCACCCAGGTGTATAAGTGAGTACTGGCAAATTTAATGCTGGGGTAACCCTGCTATGGATTAGCATCCCATCCGGGGGTAGTAGAAATATAATTTCTTGTCACTTCGTACTACTGAAACTGGAGATAAACCCTGACCCAGTCTATGGGCCACTAGGATCGTATGCAGACTTCAGTTACCTTTCCTAGGTAAGCTCGCTTCTTCTAAAGGAAAGAATATATAGTTGAAGCACTTTATACCCATGTATCGCCGGTAACCTATAAAAAGTTCTTGGCAGTGATTTTGAGGAATAATGGATGCAAACCGAAATCTATTTATCTAATTATCTATCTAATTTTTTTCTTGTTTTCTTTTCTTCAGTGACTACTGGGAGAAAGTGGCTGGATACATGGCATTCTATGCTGTTATACTTTTTACATTCTTTGCACTTCTGTTACCTTGGGCTGTACTCATGCTGGGTGGCAACAACCCATTTCTATGGCTGTGGAATTATTTGGACAATGTACATATAAGGGTGAGAAAATGTGCAAAGAAAATTGCTACAATTTTACTTGTTTTAGAAATAAAAAGTTCTGACCTCCGGAGCCCTGGAAGGGGATTCCCATATGCAAAGGTCCGAGATGCTCGTCACCTTGCTTAGGGGTAAAAATCAAAGATTCTGGTCTCATTTATGGAGTTGTTGATGAAAACACCACTATTTTTAGATGTCAAAGTATCTTTTAGGATGCACTCAAAGAAGTAATAATAAAAGAAACGCTCTTATTTCCGTTTTTAGCCTAAATGTTTGCCAGTCTCTCGAGTCCGGTCTACTAGCGCGGGCTTCTTTCCTGAACAGCAGCTCTCTTCAGTAATCAAGCCTACTTCATTTTAAGTGGTATCTTGTAGCCTAAGGGGTCAAATAAAGCTTGGGTCACGCCCGGATTGTTCTCCTTAAAGGTTTAAATTATTCAAATTTTCCGACGAGAATCCCCGACCTTTTCATATGGGAGTTCCCCACCCCACCCCCGCCCTCAGGGGGGATGGGGGGATCTGGACTTGAGTAAAGGTAAAGGTAAAGGTGTAATCTTTATTTAGACACGGTATTTCCTTCAGGACTTAACAATTATTGAATTAAATTAGTCTAACTACCTAACTAATTAAATCACTAATAACTACTGCAATAAGAAAAATTATAAATAAAAACCTGCTTTACAAGGAAGCCGTGTATAAAAGCACAAAAATGATCAGACCAGTTGTCAATAGTGTTTGTTTGAAGATGATGAGATTTTGAGAAGCCCTTTGTACTGATTTTTGACAGAAATAATGTTATCATTGAATGACTAGTCACTGTATCTTGGGTACCCAACGGATCGAACCGGAATTAAATTTTCTGTTCGGAAGGCCTTTACTCTCTTCAGCTTTTCTCTTTTTGTTACCCCGAACTTTCGTGATATGAGAAATATAAAGCCTGCTGTTTTCGGATTGATAAAAATGTCGTTTTGGGTAACAAGAAAAGGTTAGCAATGATTTTCAAAAATGTAACAGCTTCTAAGGTTTTCGGGAAATGGACAAACAAAAGCCCGTAATAAATGCTCAAGTTCCCCACAAATGACCGAACTAAAAACCATTTTATATCGCAGCGTGAAATTAATCTACACGGCTTTTTTAAAGCACTGTAGATAAGCTCTCTAGATAGCCTAAAGTGTGGTTTTCCGTTGACTGAGGAACGAAAGAAGCGGAAAACGTTTTTCTCACACACGGCTGGGAGTCTGGGTAC